ACAACACAAAAACATGTACAATAGGTTGCCTTCAGGCCCAGGCCGCCCTTGAAAAAGAGATCTGAGATCTCAATGGGATTTGCCTGGTAAAATAACAGTAAATAAAATAAATAAAAATAAATAAATTATAATTATTATTCAGCTGTACCCTTCTGCAGGGGTCACCTCACACAGAAGACTTGGCAAGTGTTTTACACCTCATGCCCTTCCTGATATAACCTGGACCTGATCCAACAGTCACAGACTTGCAAGACCACAGAACTGACCACTGAGCAACTCTGGCCTCAGGAAGGTGTGGGACTTTTATTAAATAATGAAAAAGCAACTTGCATGTATTTACCTAAAAATACGTGTTACTATAAAATGCAACTTCAATTTGTGAAAATACTGCAAAGAAATTGAGTTTGTTGTGACTTGGCTCTAAATAAATAAACTGTATTGAATCAAACTGTGTGAGTTCAACCTGTTTGACTGTTAGCAAAATATCTTATAACCTGATAAATGAATTTTAATAAAACATAGAAAGCAAACTCTGGATACATTTACAGTGGATTAATTGTGGAAGACAACCAGATTCAAGACTGATGCCAAACCTAAACCTAAACATAAAAAAATACTAATATTGAGCTCATGTTAGACATGTTAGTAGCTGTGAATCATTCAAAAACACATGTTACCGTATAAGGCATGCTTTTCAACTGGAGGCTCACGGATGACCAATGAGCCCCACCCTGAAAACAAACACAAAAACAACTTAATTTAGCATAAAAATGCATTTTAAATCAATTGCAAATGTAATATTTATTATTCAATGCAACAAAGTAAATTTAAAAGGTAAAAAAAACAACAATCCTTGTTTTATGACATACTGAAGTGATAGGGGTGCATGAACCCCTTGGGGTACACGAGCATATTACAGGGCGTACATGGGAAAATTTCCCAGGTGTGTAAAAAAATTAATAAAAATAGAACTGAGGTATGTAGGGCCCTATGATTAATGTGGAAATTGCAAACAGAATCACGAAATTAACATAAAATGGAATCCTGTATAAAACGTGGAATCTCATGGAATTTGCTCATTTGGGGTATTTGATGTATTTTGGACGCTGCTGCTTCCTGCACCAACTATTACCTGGTTTACTTATTTAATTACTTATTCACTTTCAAGGCAATGTATTTCTCTTTATGTTTAATTTGAAAAGAACAAAAGTCCTGAGAATTAAATGTTCTAGGGGGGTTAAATAAATAAGTTCCATTTAATAATCAGCTGTTGTACATTATAGTTTTGGAGAATCATCATTACGTTTGACAGAGGGGGTACTAGTGGTACGACAAAATGACTCAGGGGGTGCACAAGTCTAAAAAGGTTGGGAACCACCGGCATACTGTAATGATTGATGGGCAACACCCATTTTCAACACAAGATTTAAAGTTTAAAGATTCAAAGTTCTGGCATAAAAGGGAACACGTGGTTTAGATTTGTTTAAGAAAAGCCTTTACTTTAAAAGTTCCAATAATCATTCATTATCTGTATGTAAAAAAATAAAATACTGTATGTTTTGAATTGCAAATAATAAAATTGCATTATGTAGCTTGATTCCACATCCACAAAAAGCTGGTTTCCCCCCCCATTTTCAAAAGGTGCATCTGTGTGAAGATGAGTCAAAGTGGACAAGACGGTGCAGGCAGTGTGTGTGCATTCCAGTGCTATAAGAAAAGCTGGGCACCACGGGGGGCTCAGATCACGGGAGCAGAGCTTCCTCAAAGACGTGTGAGAAACATCACAAGGCAGGCTTGTTGTGTTCACCAACCCTTTGCTTCTCAGCGGAGTCTGAATTGTGGGGGTGGCTGGAATCAAAAACCCACCAGCCATGTGCACACGCTGTGCTACCCCTTCCATATGGGACTATTTACATGTGTGCTTTGTTGTTCAAAAGGATCAAAAGGAAGAGAGATTTATTTGACTTGTTTTTATGACACATTTTAGCAAATTTGCATGGGAGGACTGAAAATGCCTTGTAAAAGCTGTTCCGGACCACCCCATTAAGTCTAATCATGTACACAAAGCAGAAAAAAATCCCTTAGAAGTGAGGCTTTTGCTTCGAATTTTATCACTCTGCAAATTATCGACACAAATGTGTTTTTAAATGTCAGGAAGTGTTAAACGTTTATTTGAGATCCGCAACGAAAAAGAAGAGAATCCTTCGGTGCGCTGGAAAACAAAGCGACAATCGAGGGAAACGTTTGCTCTGGCAAGTTGTTCATTTTTTATTTTACAAAAAGAGGAGAGAAGAGGGCTACAAATCTGGACAATTTATACAAATACAGCAACTTTCAAAAATAAATTTTAATTTAGTAGACACTCCGTGATCAAGTTCCTGCAATAGCCCGCTGTTTGAGATCCCTGAGCAGAGACACAGAGCGAAACACTTTTTAAAACTTTCTTTTAAACAATAAAATGTGGACGCTTCTCCGTGAACACTTTATATTTACATAGAAAAAAAAAACAAACCAAAAAAAAAAAAACAAGTTTTGTCGGTGTGTGTGTGTGAAATATGGGCAAGAAATCAAAGTGAACTGTTTCATTTTCACTCTCTTGTGACAACAGCACAGTGCTAACAGCTTTATGACAGTCACAAGTAACATACTGTAGATTAAAATCTTCACCTGGAGATGAAGCTCTGTAAACAGGTACAGTATGCTCAGCAACACGAGTGGGTTTTTAAGGTTTTACTCCAGAATGACCACAAACAAAGACAATAATGTTCTCTTAGCCAACTTCCTTCACTTTACATGGAAAAACACAGTGCCAGCTGGTTCTCTTACTAACACAGAGGAATAATTTACAATGTAATGAACCCAAGACAAATGAGGTGAAGCATGGCCAAAAACAATCACAAATACTTTACAAACTTTTACTTTCATAAAAGGTGCTGTTTCACTGTTTAATGTTGAAAAAAGTTTAAATAATGTACAAATCAGACCTAAAAAAAGTGTTTTGAAAACACTGAAAATTCTTCTGTCTTGAAACTTGCTCAGTAACTGAGCTTTTATTATTTTTTTCCTGCGTGGTTTTCAATATACTATACACGTGGTATATATTAAGATTCATTAATACAAACAAAAAGGAAAAAAAAGTTTCTGTTAAAAGGCATTAAATATTTCCCTCAAAAAGCACTGCAAACTGTGTTTTATGACTAAAAGCTGGGCAAAAACATAGCTTTTGTGTTTTAGATAAAAGACTCCATCCGACTCGTGTCTTAAATCTGAAAAAGAGAAAGATGCTGAAAGCTTTTGTTAGAAAGATGGCTTCATAATTGCATTAATAGATTTTTTGTTTCTGCCAAGCTGACCTTTGAAGCAGTGCAGAACAAGAAGCGACGATAATAAGAACACGACTTCTACATCAGTAAACACCCTGAAAACGTAATCGCGCTGAACTTTATTTTTTGCTTGTCGGCTAAAACATGCTGTTTCTGAGGCCATCATTGTGCTGCATAAATAAATTTCCTTTTTTTTTTTTCAAGTTTTCACAGATTATCTGACATGAATGGTTTTCAGTAATGATGCTAATTTGCTGTAAAGTGTGATTTCGTGAGCAAATCAACAAGGTCCTTTAGGGAAAAAGAAACACCACAACAAGGAATAATTTAGAATTCAAGATGGCATTCTGTCTTTTATATCAGCTTTCCCCCCCATTCTATTAAAAAAAAACACCTCATCTGGAGGAGATTTGATAGAAAGATCCCTTAATGCTTCACTCAAGATTCTTTTCACTCTTTAATTTGATCTCATGCTGCTCGAGTTCAAGTGCTCTAAAAGAAGAAAAAAAAAAAGATTACTGTGAGAGAAATAAATCTGAAGAAGGTTTGAAGAGTCCAAATCCCACACAGTGCCTGACTAACTGTAGGTAATATTGTGGAAAGCTGCTGGCCAGAGGTGTTTGCAGAGCTCAGCAGTGATTAGGAGAGCCTGTGCGGCGCAGTCGTGGTGTCTCTGCAAATATCCTCCCTCAGTCTCTTCTATCTCTCTTGGATGAGTAAACGGAATGCAGAGCATGTTGGCTGTTTTTTTTTTCTTTCGTTTCCACCCGTGTCTGGCATTCAGATGGTGAGTAGGCGGGCAGGGAGAATGAACTCAGGGGTTATTGGTCCTCAGGCCCTGTTTCTCCATGATGTTCCACAGCTTACGCAGGTTTGACTGGGTGATGGTGTCGTCCGGTTTCAGCTGCAGCGCCCGGAGGTAATTGGCTTCGGCGTCTTGCAGTTTCCCGTTGAGGTGCAGGATCGCACCGAGGTTCATCAGGGCCGCGGGGTACTGAAACAAACACATCCAACAGTTTTATACACAAAGATACAGTGTATAAAAAGTTCTGTTCAAGAATAAAATTACAGTAACCTCATTCCTTGTTTAAGAGAAGCAGTCACAGCAGGGATAAACAGAGATTCAGTTTTCTGGGACACAGCTTGATGATAGTTAATTACTGAAGTGAAATGAAACAAAATCACAGCTGATGACTAAAACAAGCTCTATAATTAACTGTAATGGAACACTGGGTCATCACGAGACCCTAAGACGGTGCTGGATCCTCTTTGTTGGATCACCCAAACTTTGCATGGAGTTTGGTAACCAGGCTGTTTTGCACGTCCCCGTGCCTGGTCTGTGGCCATAGATGTCAGTGGGAGCAAACGCCACTTTGAAGTGGGCTGAGATGTTTATTCCTGCTGGTGCCAATGGGTAAAAATTGTAATCAGTGAGACGAGTGAGTCATGGGGACATAAGTACAGAAGAAGTGCCTGGGGTGCAATCATGTCAAGACCATGAAGTATGCCGGCCAAGGGAGGGGCAACATCTGATCATCATTTTGGTTTAAAATGTAAAAAAAAAAAACAAGTGCTGCTATCCTGCAGAGGAGGGACTACCATACAACTAAAGATTTTACTAATTTTCTTAATTATAGTATTTCTTTTCATAAAATTGTTTCAGGAAAACAAGCTCATCAGGCTTTTTTTTTTTTTGCCATTTTCTAAACGTGATGTCCCAGTGGCTTTCAAACCCCAAAACACATTACGGCAAAGGCTGGTTCACCCCAAAGATCCGGTGCCCCGGCACAAACAGAGCAATGTTGTATAT